TTAACTACACAAGGTGCCAGTTACTCTAGCATTTGTCAACATTGCATAATCAATGGACCTATTATTCCTTTAAGTTTTCACATCATACATGGCATTCGTAGTCCATCTGTAAGACGGAAATCGTAGTCCATCTGTAAGACGGCAATCTAAATTTCACACGGCACTATGAACGTAATATAAAACTATAACTATAAAACAAAAATGAAACAAATATAACAAATGAGATCCGTGTGAATGCAACCGTATCGTTGAGTGTCCGGCGGTTGGTGTAGTATTGAGTGCCACGTGACAGATGCCTCTTGTCCTCCCGCAAGCGTGCAGGCACGAAAAACGTCATAAATCTATAACTATAACACAAAACAACGGAAATAAAATAAATATAACTAATGAGAACCACGTGAACGGGACCGTAACATTGAGCATCCGGCGGGCATCGTGATATTGCGCGGCACGCGGCAGATACCTACTGATCCGCCTAACAGATGCTTCTTGTCCTACCTCCCCCGCGACACGCACGCAGACGCTCCCGCGACGGACTGGCGTGCGATCGAGACGTCGCTGCAGGCGCTCAAGGTCATCCTCGACGGCCTCGTGCAGTTCATCCAGCAGAACGCGACACACAAGCTCACCGAGTCGACGCATCTGATGCACGCCGGCAAGTACAAGACGAGCATGTGCCGCGACCTTCAGCAGGTTGGCGGATGCCCGCGCGGACTCAACTGCACCTTCGCGCACTCACAGGATGAGCTCGAAAAGTGAGATGTAGTTTTGGGGCGCGTTTGTTGTTGGGTTGTTGTTGTTGTTGTTGCCGTTGTTGTTGTTGTGTGGGTTTTGTTGTTGCTGTCATGTTGTTTATTGGTTGTCATTGTCATGGTCATCGTTGTTGTTGTTGTTATCATAGTTTACACAGCTTTTGTTGTTGTTTTTGTTGTTATTGTTATTGTTGTAGTTTTGGTTGTTTATGTTTTCCTTGATTTCATTGTTGCAAAATTGTTAGCAAATTATGATAAATAAATAATTAATAGATTGATAGATTGATAGATTGATATAACTGTACTGGTTTTCTGATATTGCAAGATACAAGATACAAGATACAAGAATCTTTATTTAATGTCAGATATCACAAACAATCGGAAAATCGCAAAATGCAAGAATGTGTATGTTGAAACCATAGCATTTTCTTACCCATGGTGACTGTGTGTTTCAGAAATAGAAGTAGAAGTAGGAAGAACAACCCATCCATGAAAAGCAGCAATGCTGTCTCCGATAAGTTGCCCGGGGGATTCAACAGGCAGTCGGCAGATGTAAAACCACCGGAAAGTGTCCTGTCCGAAAAAGCCGACGTGTTCAAGCCAAAGTGAGTGCCGCTACTTTATTCGTAGCGGTTTTCGTTTTTGTCTCATCCTGCTACCGTAAGATGTCGTAATAAAAGGGAATAACAGGGGGCAGGGCGGTTTGATTGCCTGCCATCTTGGATATGGAGTGCGAGTGCCAGCACTAGACAATCGGCAGCCCGGATCTCGCACGAAGCGCGAAAAACGCCGCGTAGCGGCACACTAACACAAATACGCTGCATTCGATTGGAGTAAATCTTCACAGGTTTACTGTATACCAAGATTCGTGGATAATTGCTTAATTGCTCAGTCGTTCTGGCGATTCCACAAGCCTTTTCACTACGCACGTAGCTGGACATTTACTACAAATGGTCGTAATTGTTGGTTTGCTGCTCGGCGCGCTTCGTTTTCCTGTAGAAAAGCGAGTTAGCATTTTTGCTGTTTCATGCCCTGACATTATTGTAGAACATATGGTGTGCGATAGATGGCGCAACGAGGCTATGTTCATGGCATTTCCACCTAGTTTTTCTGCACACGGCTTCGGCGGCTAAGCTAGACTGGTACCCGCTTGACAGTTCCACACGCTACACTAACTGAGTTCATTGTAGCCAAGGATACTTGGCGGAGTGAAGGTGGGTACCAGTCTAGCTGTAACCCCTGCAATCGTGACTTGCGCTTGAACTTGCCGTATCCATCTTGGGAGACCAATGTGACATTTTTGTCTATTTAGGCCATTTTCAGCATTGACATGTGTGTGTGCTCATTACTCAAAACAATGACTTGCGACTTAGTCCGTATTATGCTGGAGCGGGTCACATATAATATTTTCCCCCATTCTTAAGAAGACGTCATCTCCTTTTCAGGTTGAGTGATGTGCAGCCGACACCGTTGCCAGCAGTCCAGCCCGTGCCGATGATAAGGGCACTGGTGCCCACCCCAGATCACCCGGAAGCATTGTTGTTCCCTACGCCTCCCGTACGCGGCTTTCTGCCGATGGAAGGTAGGGAAGGGGCGCCTCGGATGATACAGCGACGTCCGCAAATCTAACCCGTGTTAGCAGTCGGCTCCGTGTAACGGACGCCCGCTTGCGAAGGGCGCATTCGGCATTTTCCTGCATCGCTACTCGTCGGTAAAGCCGCCTCTCTATCGTGATGCACGTCTGTTTGTGAAGGACGCTTTTGGAGTTTACCGTCGGTGACCTTTATACACAGGTTTGACTGTAGTTTGAATCAGTTACGAGGTCCCACAGAGTCGCTACAGCCGGTTATGTGCGGTTATTCATTGTGACACGATCATTGCTAGTCATCGCTCCGGCAGCACGTATTCGAAACTAACTGATCGGTGTCGTGATAGAACGTTCGAGAAGCAACAGGCCGGGCCGTAAACAATGTTAGGCCGTTAACGATGTGTAGAGGACTCGACATTTTGGCGAGCTTAAAAGAGCTTAAATTCTGCTCAGACTCGGCGAGTCGGGCCCACCCTCTCGACGGCGACGTCCCGTGGCCGACGAATCGCTCATGTCGACGAGCCGGTTTTTTCCTCAGTCGTCCTTCTCCCGCAGTCGTCTTCCAGGCACGGTGCAGCAGCAGCAACAACAGCAGCAGCAGGGGCAGCAGCAAGACCAGCAGCAGCAGTAAGAGCAACAGCAGCAGTACTAACGGGGTTTTTACCTCCGCTGACGAAGTCAGATGCAGCTTGTAGAATCGCATGATTGTACGTCCGTCCATCCGTCCACAGTTGGACACAAATCTTAACCGCTCGACGTACGGTCTTGATATTCGGGACGTCAGGGGGATCGCGAAAAGGACTCGGGATGTTGAATTTGGGGGTCAAGCGTCAAAGGTCAAGATGTGTCAATGGAGAGGGAATATTTCCCCCTTAACTTAAGGTATAGGAGGAAATACGGAATTGCGGCACAAATCTCAACGGCTCGACCTACGCTCTTAATATTCGATGTATAGTGTGATGGGGAGGAAACTCATCACCAGCATGAAATTGGAGGTCACAGGTCAAAGGGCAGTGGGGGAAAGGTCAGATATCAGACATTTTCTGAGGACATGGTCCCTTTTGTTTCAGCGCTGACCTACCGTTTTTATCACTTTATTGAAAGGACCATGAAATCTACTTTCTGCTGACGTGCGAAGAGTAAGTGTCTGATAACCTTTTGACCCTCAAGAGGAGGGTTAAACATGAATTTGTTAACTGTTAACAAAGGACTGAACTGCTTTTGCTATTAGAGCCCCCTCCACCCGCCCCTCCCCCCACCCCATAGATTTTAGATCTGTATTAGTAGTATCCTAGATAAATGCTCTGAGCCCGAACAGGGTGGCAGGAGGGCGCACTTGATTTGGTTGCCAGTGAGTTTATCAGAAGAATACCTGGCTACAGTACACGTCAGTTGAGCGCTGTTGCTCTGCGGCACTTGTTTCTGTGGTCTCCCCTAATCTTCTCTGCTAAAGGATCAATACCTATTCTCTCTCTCTCTGCGTTCGTTTCCAGGCATGGTGCAGCAGCAACAACAACGGCAGCAACAGCAGCAGCAGCAACAGCAGCAACAGCAACAGCAGCAACAGCAGCAGCAGTATAAGCAGAAGGGGGATTTGCTGCCGAATGATCAACGCCAGTTATCTCTCTCTATGCGTTCGCTTCCAGGCATGGTGCAGCAGCAGCAACAGCAGCAGCAGGGACAGCAGGGTGCGCCAGCCGTCGCCGGCCTGCACCCGGGCGTGGCGGCGGCCCACGCGCTGCCCGGCGCGCGGCAGCAGCCGTTCTATGGCGGCTCGCCGGCGCCGTACCAGGCCGTGTACGGTGGCGACCTCCAGCGGTCCATGTACCAGGCACAGGTGAGGCGGCAACAAAAACCACACAACAACGCCAACACAACAACAAGCAACAACGCAACAACAATAACAACGACAACAACAACGCCAGAACAAACTCGCCCGAAACTATGTCTCTTTTTTCGAGCTCGTTCTGCGAATGCTCAAGCGCGAAGGTGCAGTTGCGACCGCGGGAAGACGTGGGCGTGTCCACGCCGCCGCCGCCGCCGGCCGGCCCCGCTCGCCACGCGTAGACGCGTGGCGAGCGCATGTGTACATCAACACCTCGGTTAGCAGTGCTGTGAGGAGCAGCCCCATTTTTAGCTCACCTTGACATCGTCAAGCTGAGCTATTGCCATGGGTCGTCGTCCGTCATCTGTCCGTCCGTCCGTCCGTCAACATTTCGCTTCGGTCAACGATAACTCAGGAACCGTTTGACATGTTTGAAATTGAACATATTGAAATGTTTGAAATTGGGTATAGTTGTTACTGCTATGCTCCCATATTAAACGTCCTATTTTGAAGCACGCCAGTCGACGTACTTTCGAGCCACGGCAATTTTTCGGCAAAAATGGGAATTGCCATTAGTCAGTTCAGTTTCAACGGATTTTGCTCATTTTTGGTATGTGAATGAATAAGGGCTAGGGGTTTTGATAGTTAAAAAAAATTATGCAAATTAGGTAGGGTTTGGCAATTATATAGCATACTATATAGACACGCAGATAACAAACAGTCTGTGGTGTCACACTCGTCTGGTTCGTTTTACAAGATTTTATTGACAATATCTTTAATGAAAAATTGGTTTTCCTCTCCCCCCTGCCGGATAAAACGTCCATATTAAGTAAAGAATTTACAAACATGATCGGAACGCAAGCATAAACCTAATTTATGTCAAAACGCGCATCGCTAACAAAGCGGGTATAGCGCCGTCCATCTAAACGGTCAACCAATTGTGATCATTTTGGTTATAAATTAGTTATTAGCGATAATAACAGATGGCCAATCGTTTCTATAATGTACGTCGAGTGGTTGCTCAATTTAAAAACTGACTTCTTCTTACTCACTCATTTGTGTCATTTTTGAGGGGAGCTACAGTGTCATTGACACTTTCATTTAGCGGGTCACCTTGACATCGTCAAACTCGGAGCGTGCCATGGGTTCATGTCCGTCCGTACGCGCCGTCCGTCAATCATTTGACTACGGTCAAGCGAATAGCCAGGAACCGTTTGACCCCACTATGTTTGAAATGGGTATAGTTGTTACTGCTATGCCCTCATATTAGAACGTCGCCAAAAATGCGGAATTTCGCATTAGAGTCAGTTCAGTTCAACGATTTTGGCCTCATTTTGGTATGTGAATGAATAAGGGCTAGGGGTATTGATATTTAAAATTATGCAAATTAGTAGTGTTTGGCAATTATATAGCATATTATATAGACACGCAGATAACAAACAGTCTGTGGTGTCACACTCGTCTGGTTCGTTTACAAGACTTTCATTGACAATATCTTTAATGCAAAATTTCTGCTATGAACATATTATGATTTATACTATTTATTATTATATTATTATTATTATGATAATGGATTTATGCTAAGAAACATCAAAGCGGGTATAGCGCCATCTACCGTCACAAATTGTGATTCCATTTGGTTTATAAATTTTTATAATTTAATATATAATATAATTTATTATTTTTACATAAAAAATTACACATATAATTATCAATAGTATATAAAATGGGAGTTCTCCCATATATACTCTTCGTTTCTATAATGTACGTCGATGGTTGCTCAATTAAAACTGACTTCTGTGTCCTTTTTTGTGGTGAGCTACAGTGTCATTGACACTTTCATGTTCTATGTTTTGTCTAGTGTGCAACGAGCAAAACACTCTTTTCTACACACGTATTTCTCGAAGTATCCAGCGAAAGGCTCGTACGCGCCGGAAAGCAGATAGCCGTGTACACGTTGCGCCGTTGTTACCTTTAGTAGCAATTACCGGTTGCTATCGCGTAAAAGTCACTAACGATGACTTTTCCGCTACTTGCTCTCTCCTGGTGACGCAGCCCGAGTCGATGTCGTATCCGATGATGGAGAGCTACACTCTCAAGGAGGTGCCCGCGGGACACATGATGCAGCATTCTCACACTGCCATTCCCGACTCCTTCCAGAACGCGGTGGCGTTTCAGAGCGAGGTACGCTTAGAAGTAGTTATTCCTAGTGGATGCCTGTTGGTTTCGCATGTTGCAATTTCGTACTTCGGGAAATGGTGTGAATTTTTCCGATGACTTCTTACATTGAGTAATGGATGGGCAGTTTTAGTTGTGGATTAGGCAACCGTTGCAGCAGCCAGCTGCTCTTCTTTGTGCGACTTCTGTTGTCGAAGCAGTCACTCTTTGTTAAGTTTACAGATTTATCACAAAATAGACTAGTGATTGATCATTGCGTGTGCGTGCGGTTGCACCTGTGCAGGTAGGGAACAGTCATTTTGAGAGTTTTGCATCTTTTTGTCGATGACCAACTAGGCTGAGAGTTATCGCGTTTAGCTCCAACATGCTCTGCGTCCATTTCTTCGCGGAGAAAACATTTTCCTGCGAAAGGACGGCAGGCCTGCGAGCATCGTTGTGTGCATATATTTACATAAAAATACATACCATTGGGTATTTCGGGTTTCGTGCATCGTTTCCTCAGCATCCTCACCACGCGTCTTGTTCTCCCTTGCAGCAAATTGCCCACCAGCAGATAAAGATTGCTGCGTTACATCAGCGGAAGAAGGAGATACTGTTGGAACTCGACCAGTGCCAGTCGCAGATGGTCGCGCAGACGACGCTTCCCACGCCATCGTCCGCAGTCAATTCGGTTAGCTGTGCGTCTACGCACCCTCAGTACACAGTAAGTACCAGGGGTGCCATCTACGCAAACACACACAAGCACCGTACGTCGGTACGGCTCTAATTGTGGTTGATTTGAATGCGATTCAAATCAACCAAAATTGGAGTAAATTCGGTTAGCTGTGCATCTACGCACCCTCAGTACACAGTA